GTTTGCGTTATGAGGAAAACAAAGACACCTTGTTTTTGGGGATACATCATGGTGGCGAGCTGACAAAGTGATGGACTGGCCTCGAGAGTGTTCACGTGCCATGTTGTACAAAGGGCTTTGGATCAAATATGATCTAAAGTGGGTTGTGATCAGCCTCCAGACTATATACTGAAAGACTAGATTGCCTTAAAATGAGAGAATATCCAAAGTATAATTTTAAAGGTTTTGGAGATTAAACAAAAATCTGTAGGCAAGAAAAATCTGTAGGCTCTGATCCTGCAAGTGAATTGGCATCTGTCAGATGTAAGTGGTTTTGTTTAGACTCTTCATCTCTGGATGCAGTCTCTGTTTATAAGTTTCGTAGGTGAATTTTGAGCATGGTATGTAGCCCCCAAGGCATTTGATCCTTGATATAAATATGATTGTAATATGAATAACGAAAGGGTATTTATTTATACTGTTTGGAAAGTAGAATTCAAATATTGGCATTTAAAATATATCTTCTAAGTCTCCTAGGTCTTATGACGCATGAGCAATTTTATATGTTGCAATAGTGTAGTAACTGTTTGGAAACTTTTGTGTTAGGATTATGTGGGAGTTTTCAACGTCTCACTAGTGTGGTCTGAAACATAGTCATCCTTGATGCAAACGGGAATCAGCTGAAACCTGAGTGTGACAGTTTCCTTGATATGTGAATAAGCAGCACTGCAACTTGTACCTTACCATCCTTGATACTATTTTGCGTGAAAGGAAAACTGCCCATTTGTTTTAGTTGAGAAAGCAGCAAATTTTAAAGGGAAGTATGTTGAGATTTATGTTGGGAATTGACATTCTCTTAGGTTTGCAAATGCATGGTATCATGAGTTCATAATTTAAAGTTAAGTCTTTAACACAACCCTGTTAGAACAGATAACAGATCTCAGACTTTCCGATAAAATTGTCTGAGTGACAGTTTCAGATACTGAAGTTGTATAAAAAAAATAAGAGCAACATTTTTAAACTCAGGTTGTCTGCAGACTCATCCAGACAGTTGTAACAGAGATAGTTTTGAAAGGGGGATTTGGTTTTCTCTGAGCTGCTTTTATTGGATGGCTTAATAAAGGGTTGGGTGCAGCAATTAAGCTGCGAAGTAGAAGGCTTGATCCTCAGTGGAACTATAAGCACTTCCCTAAAGTTATGTAAACTGAAGGTTTACAGTGTGACAAGTTTTTCTCTGAGTTCAGGTGTACACATGTGGTACCTTGATCTGTGTTTAAAAGGTACTGTGCTTGTTGAGCTCATGTGTTTTTCTGCTTCGTTAAATGGCAGTACTTAAGTACTTAAGTATAAGTGTGAGAGGAGAAAAGTAAGGGACATGGGTAGAGCTGTGGGTGTCTTTGGGTGGACACCAAAGGTGAGGAAATATTACAAATTCTTAACATAATTTTCATTTTTAAAAAGGAAAATGGAGGGGAAAAAACACTCTTACGATATATTGGTGAATGGATGTTCTGTCAGACTATTCTACCTCTAAACTCCAGCATCCCCATTCCTCCTATGAGGAAGATCATTATGAAAGTTGTGGAAAGAGAGTGTCCGTGTTGAGGAGTGGGTTTCAACGTGAGGAGGGAAAAAATTATATTCTTGTGCACGTGAATAACTAAAATCTTTTAGAAGGCACAATAAATTCAGAATGTAATCAATCACTGACTGTTGAAGATTTCAGTAAGTCCTGGTGTGCAATACAAACTCCCTAGCACTTGCTTTGAAGCATCTTCCTGTTGTTGTAGAAAAAAATTAGAAAAAAAAATTTTGAAGTGACAAACAGGGTATTTTTTCATGTCATGCGAGTTCCGATAGTCCGGTATCAAACTAAATTACCTGTAGTTAAACTAAATGACCTGTTATAATTTTTTTTTCTTTCAGCAAGCAATAAGAATAGTTGCTTTTATTTATTTTTTTATTCCTTGCAATGAACCATGCATTTTTGAATGTATTTGGAGAAGTCAAATTTTTATTTTCATTTGTAGTTTATTGCTGTGGCTGGAGCTAACTCTCTGGAATGAAACAAGATTTCCTGCTGTTTGGTGTTTCTTGTGCCTGTCATACTTCTAATTGGGAGAAATGGGAATCTGTTGAAGTTTTCATTTTCAAGTAACTTCGGAACTGAGATTCACTCTTAATTCACTCAAGTTTAGAGAAGATCATGGGGGAGCGAAGCCTGGATGCAGCTAAAACAATATACTGTGATCCAAACAATGACTCAAAACTTTGTGGTAGGTGGGGATTTGACCAGCTCACATTGCACAGTAGTGCTTCTTGAATCAGCAGTTTGCAAATTCAAGTGGATACATGTTTTGTTTTAGTGACCACCTAAACGGCAGCAGCTTTAAAAAAGGAACATTTGCTGCTTAGGAGTACATCTGAAAATCATTTAGGGTGGTAAGTGGAGAAGAACATATGTCTTAGAAATATTCTGGAGGTCTTATAGGGAATGTAAGTGTACAAGTTAAAGCATTGGCGCTGATGGCGTTACTTCTGTTCAAATGTATTACCAGCTCACTTTACAAAGACTTTTAAAACTCAAATGCTTAAACTCTAATACAAGAGCTTGGATGGAAGGGACAGTGGGAGTGACTCATTTTAGGAGAAGGGGCCAAGGATTTAGGGCTATCGGAGAGTTGCACACCAGGACCTGCAGAGCTGAGATAGCCACGTACAAGCTTGACCTCAAGTCCTCTATCTTTAAATGATGATCCAGTATTTCTGTCTCATGCATGGTGTGTGTTGTTTTTATTTATTTTTCTTTAGTATTCACTAGCTCTGTTTCAAAAGCATTAAGCTGACTCCTATGCTTTTTCTTTGAGCTGTTAACATTTATATTCAGGTAAGATGCACTCGTTCTGTATAAATAGTCACCCCAAATTTTGGAAGTCCTCTTAAGCTCATTGAGAGCTCCCTGACTGGTGGCAGAGTTATCAGTTGGGCAGAGCTATTCTAAGAGTAGATGTACTCAATCGGTGTACAATTTTGTCTAGTGCAGTGTAGTCCTCAGCCACAGCCAGCAGGGACTATGTGGGATGAGTACTAGCCTTGACGGAGTGGATGGGGGTGCCTCAGGTAACTTCTCAGTAGGAGATTTTTTGACTTAAAGGTGGCATTTTTGAATTGGGAGCCCTCAGATTTTTGGTGTGTGTTGTTTTTATTTATTTTTCTTTAGTATTCACTAGCTCTGTTTCAAAAGCATTAAGCTGACTCCTATGCTTTTTCTTTGAGCTGTTAACATTTATATTCAGGTAAGATGCACTCGTTCTGTATAAATAGTCACCCCAAATTTTGGAAGTCCTCTTAAGCTCATTGAGAGCTCCCTGACTGGTGGCAGAGTTATCAGTTGGGCAGAGCTATTCTAAGAGTAGATGTACTCAATCGGTGTACAATTTTGTCTAGTGCAGTGTAGTCCTCAGCCACAGCCAGCAGGGACTATGTGGGATGAGTACTAGCCTTGACGGAGTGGATGGGGGTGCCTCAGGTAACTTCTCAGTAGGAGATTTTTTGACTTAAAGGTGGCATTTTTGAATTGGGAGCCCTCAGATTTTTTTTTCTTTTTTTCTTTTTTTCCCTTCTCTACCGAACTGTATTTTTGGAATCCATGAATATTTCAGCCCCTCTCACAGAAAATCAGAATAGATGCTCCAGTCCCTCCATCACCTTCGTGGCCCTGCGCTGGCCCCTCTCGAGCAGCTCCAGGTCCCTCTTGTCCTGGGGAGCCCAGAGCTGCCCCCGATGCTCCAGGTGCCTCCCCAGAGCTGAGCAGAGGGGCAGGATCCCCTCCCTGGCCCTGCTGGCACCGCTCCTGCTGCTGCAGCCAGGAGCCCATGGGCCTCCTTGGCCACGAGGGCACGTTGCTGCCTCATGGGGAACCCGTTGTCAACCAGGACTCCCAAATCCCTCTCTGCAGAGCTGCTTTCTAACAAAACCCCTTTTCCCTTCTGTTGGGAATGCTGCAGCCAAAGAAACTGTTGGGAAGAAGCACCTCTTTTTGAGCATGCAAATATCTTCCTTTTGTTTGACACCCTGCAACCAAAACCTGCAATGTTTGTGTTCGTCACAGTGGCTGGGGATCGATATTTGAATGGTTGCTTTGAAACAGATATTACAGCTTTGGACTGACTGAAACGCAGTTTATGGGTAGCGTTTTCCCTCTTCCAATATAGCCATTTCTGTCCTTACATTTTTAACCTCTAATGCCAGTTCAACGGTAATTGGGTTTTGTTATAATTGTGTAAGGATTTTTTTTTTAATTTTCATGAATCCACATATTTACTTTTCAAAAAGGTGGAAGTTTATTGAAGCTGATGTCCTGGAAAGACGTCACGTGTTTAGTAGCATTTGTTTCATGGCACGTAGTTACTGGCAGATTGTAAATGCTTATCTTTTTAGACTTCTCCCATGTAGGTAAGATCAGCATGTGGTAGTTTTTTTGCTTGCTTGTTTGAGGCTAGCTGTGCAGCAGTGATAACAACCACACTTAATGTGGGAGTGGATGGTACATGGCTTGACAGCACCAAGGGATTTATTTGCGTGACCCTTTCTTGTCAAAAGCCATTCTATGCCTCGGTACCCCTGCGTATTCATTTGGAAAATATGTTTTCGAATAGCATGTCAACTTAATATCCTTGTTTAAATTGTCAGTTCCTTGTGGCTTTCCCCACTGGTAATAGCCTCGATGTTGATATAACGGCAGCAGAGTGTTCTTGAGTGCGATTTATGCAATCTGAAGCATAGCACAGAAACCCTTAACTCCCCTGGACTGTAGGACAACAAAGTTGTCCTAATTTTGATGGCAGTAATTTCAATGCCTCTTATATACCTTGATTTTCTACTTTTCAATAGTAGTTCCAGGTTAAAATTAAATAAATTATTAATCACTAATTTAGGAAACTCTGTATATTTCTTATTTGTATGAGGGACTTCAAATGTTTCTTTTTTCTTTTTTCTCTTTAAGAAATGAAAAGTTAGAAGAGGAGTTGCCAGCTAAAGAAGATGGGAGCAAATAGCAGCAGCATCAGTGAACTTCCAGAAAATGAGTATTTAAAAAAATTATCAGGAGCAGAGCCAATCTCTGAAAATGACCCATTCTGGAATCAGCTGCTGTCTTTTAACTTTACTGCTCCAACAAACAGGTGAGATGATGTTCAGTGAAGAGTTAAACCTTGGTAAAATATTTATAAAAATTACAGATCTGGAAAGGAAAAAAGCTTCTGTTTTTATTCCTGTTCTAGGTGGCAGGGTAGTAAATGTCTATGTAAAATGGACTATTTCTAATTTTGCAACCTCTTTCTGCGGTATCTTTCTGTGGGTTCCTTTCCTCCACATATAAACTGTAATTGCTACTTGTTCTTCTAGCAGCTAGAAATGATGAGAAAAAGGTCTGTTATGTTCTGATGTGCATGTTTTTGTTTTGCATGTTTAATTTCGAATAAACCTCTACTGGTCTTTCCTCCGAAACATTTATCATTTCATGCACTAACAAGTTAAGCATTGGTAGGTCACAGGGCTAATTCTTCCAACTCTTATTGCATTGAGCTTCTGCCATGAGTTGGTTGTAGGCTGGCTGTCGAGTTTCTCCACCTGTATTGCCTTAATTATATATTTTTCTGCTTTACCTTTTAAAGGGTAGTTTCATATGTTGCCTCTGTAGAAAATATTTTCTAAGTATTTAAATTCAGGGCACTAATGCACAGATAATAAAGTTTCTCTTGTGATGTTGTGGTCTACAGCCCTACTATACTTGCACCAAAACTATAGAATGTAGCAGATAACTGAAATATCACCTCCTCATGATGGTTATTTTTTGCATGTCTCTTCACTCTAGCAGCTAGCGTGGATAGAAACAGGATTAGTATTTCTGAAAGGCTGCACAGCATGTCTCCAGCAGTACAAAATGTAACCTGTAGTAATGTAAGCTTACAACTGTGGTTAACTGACTTCAAAATAGGTTTTTAATAATTAATTAATAATTTTTAATGAGGCATTGTTTACCTGTTGTATGAATGACCACCATGCCGGGTCTTGGATGCGATGTGTAGTAGCTCCTGAAAGGCCAAGAGCAACAACATTTATTTTCATAACAATTAGGAGCAGGTAAGGTAGAGTCTATCCAGCTCGTACCAATGTGCTTATGAGTAAGTGAAGTTAGATGACTGGGAGAGAAAATGGATAAGGTAAAGAACTCAGATTTTTTTTTTTTTTTTAAGAAGTGAAAAGGAGGAAAGATTTTTGGCTTGTGCATGGGGATAATAGGAAGTAGCAAGAAGTTATAGTATTGTGAGGGGGAATTTCTTGGAGTATTTGGCATTGCATGAAACAGTAGTTTCTTACATAAATTCTTGCTTATAGTCTACTTGTGACTAATAAGACAGAAGCCGTGTCATATTGCTTTGGGGCATTTTAGGGGGACATAGGTATATATCAAAAAGAAGCAACTTCTTTCACTTGTTCTCTTACACTTCTGTTCCTCATGCCCATCAAATAAATGAGTTTTCCATAGCTTGGTTTCCAGCTTTTTTTGTGTGCATATTTCAGAGTCAGACCAGTTTGTTTAAAGGTGAAGTTTGTTTAAAATATGTATATATATATATACATATATATTTATACACAAAAGGAAAAGTGATCCAAAAGTAGGATGAAAGTTTAATTAGCTGAACACCAGATGGTGCTCTTGCCTGGCAGCTGGAAGAGAAATATTTTTAGAAGCACAGTCCTATTTTCTATGCAGCTATGCAGCTTAATAATTAGAAGGAGACAGAAATTTCCCATCAAGTCGCATCTACCTGGGAGAGACCCATTGACAGATGAGGTCAAACACTGTTGGCTGCATAACACCCTCATCAGCTATTGTGTAAATCACATGACCTTGCCTGCAGGAACAGAGCGGCAGAGGTCAATGTTCATTTTGGAGACTGAAAGATCACAAAATATCATGCCAGTTCTGTTTTGTTATTATGAGACTTGAGTCTAGGTCAGGCTTCTGACAGGAGCGAGATGGTAGTTTTTGATTATTGTGGGAAGAAGCCAAGTTTTCACTTGTCAAACAAGATGGAATTAAACCTTTTCCTCTTCTTTCAGATTATGCTTCTTCCCTCCATTAGTCTGTGTCAGCTAGGTGATTGCTTGAAAGATATTCACTTCTCTGCATTTGATACGATGAATATCTGCCATGTTAGATGCAGTAGATACTGGGCAGGACCTGGGAAAGGAGCTCAGAGCCTTTAGGTAACCCTCCATTTACCGCCACCTCCAAGGTTAACCCCCCAGTTCGGAAGCCTGGGGCCTGGACTTTGAGAGTTGCTGAATTACTGGATTTCTGCCCAGAGGGAGATGAGGGAATGATAACTATGTGATCCATGAGCAGTGTTGCTTTCTTTGCTCTTCTGTTTTTCTTCATTTGTGTTGTCTTTTCTTAGCACTTAAAACTCCTTTTTTGTTGTTGTTTTTTGCTTGCCCCATATTCTTGGACTTATTTTTCAGTCCAGTCAATTTCTTTATATCTTTCTGTAAAGAACAGGAGGTCAGTTTGGGAGTGAATTTGGCCAAAGCTCTGCACTGCTGACGGCAGAGTTGGTAGGTCCCTGTGTTATTGTCTGCATTAGCAATATGGTGCAAGATAACTCCTGCCTTTGCAATCTCTTCTGGTGTTTATGGGGTGCACTGTGAACTTCACTGGGAGCTGATCTACCTGAAAAACAACCTAGCAAAAACAAAAGTGTGTTGCATCTTGTGGCGTTGGTTTTGTTAATACCAAAGCAAGTATTTACAGGGAATGTTAAGTGGGGGAGTGGGAGTAGGTCTGATCTGTGGGTTTTTGGAAACCTTAGTTGTGAATCAGCCTTTAATAATCAGAGAAAGAGAGCTGAAAGTGAATCTCTACTCATAAATCCTGTAACTGCCCCTGAGTGGTAGAGTGTAACAGCCAGAGCAAATCTCTGGTATTTGGCAGGCAAAGTCACTGAAGCCTTAGACAATATAGGAGTGACAGGAAAAAAGTAATATATTAATACATTTTTTTTAAATGGCAGAGCTACTAGCAATTTTATTACAGGTTGCCCAGGACATATTTTTCACTGTGAAAGGTATGTTGTGATCTTGCTCTAACAACTGCTTGTAGCATGTCTCAGATTTTGGATCCCTTGGGCTATAGGAGTGTCTTCTGAAGAATTCCTGTCTTCAGGTACCTGGTGCTCTGACTTCACTCTCCCACCATTTCACTTTTTTTCTTCATGGTTCCATATTTACTTCAAAATGGATTCATAGAAGGGGCTGATTTAAGATCATATAAATACCCTTAATTCTGCCGCTTCCTAGATGTCAAACAGTTTGAATAGAATTTGGATATTAAAAAAAAAAACAAACCCTGAAAACACTCCTTGTAGATTTTGTTTATTGTTCTAAACACGGGCTCTGAGGTTTACTTTGGAGTCTCTCGATTTCGGCAGCCCAGTGTGTTTGGCTGCCATCTGAGTTGCTACACAGAACTGCAACCTCCTCCTTAGCAGTGTTGTTGGTTACGATACGTTCATGATGGAAAACTTAAAACAGAGTTAACTAACAGAACTTGCTGAAAATCATATGCTTAGTATTTGCTGTTCCACTTTGTTCCTTCCCTGGAGTTTTTAATGAGTGGCTGCTTGAAGAATAGTGTGCATGATCCTTTAATGGAAAGACATAAAAATGAGCAACTTTTATGTTGCCTTAATATGGTACATTTTTAAATTGGTACAATAAATTACGAGCAGCTTTTTATTCTTTGACGTCTTTCCCCTGAATAGTCCATTAAAGTCAGCATTCCCACAGTATGAATTTACTGAATGGGCTAATTCTTCTGTTTTGAATTCAATGGCAAAGGGAAAAACTCTGCCTAGTCAGAGGGAAAAAATGTCAGGAAAACTACGCTTTCTATTCTCTTCTTTCAGGGAGGGTGGTTTTTCACTATGGTTTGGGCCTTATTCTTACCCTGTTGTTATCTACCTTGCAGATATGCTTTTAATAGCCATTTGCATGCAAAATATACTTATGACTTGCCATGCTGACATCTAAAAACAGCAGTCATACTACTCCGAAATCTCATATATTGTGATGCCTTTGAAATAAAAGGCATTGAACCATTTTATTCATTGAAGACGCTGCTGTCAGAAAGCAACTTTCACTGTCTTTTATTAATTACAGCTTTGCTGAAGTCTGTGGGATGGACTGTTGATTACTCTAATGTAAATCCAAAATAAGGCAACTGAAACAAATTCAACCACTCTAAATGAACTCCACTGTTTTTTTTAATCCATTTTCTTTTTGAAAGTAGTTTTTTTGTCAATATTTGGCAGAACAGCTAACCGCAGAATCCAGCTTTATCCAGATAGTTTGAAGCCAAAAATAAAAATCTGCAGTGAATAAAAATTATCTTTTTTTGAGCAATTGACTGCTTAATTTACAATTCTCCTCACCTTTCACCTTTACTGCAAAGATGATTTCTGACAGAAAAACTAGCTCACTGATAAAGAACTTGTATTATGAGCAGTAACAGCAGGTACAAAGTGATTAAATGGCAAGAGAATTAAAACATTGATGTAAGATCGATCAATTATTAAATGTTATGAGAATAGTTTTGATAAGTCAAAATTAAAATTTGTATAATCTGAACACTGTTTCAATAAAATATTTTCCTTGGTCAATATTCATTGCACATAAGAGAAGTCCAATTTTTGTTTTGTCTTTGCAGTATTTTCACTTATGAAAAACAAAAAAGGACAGTTTTGGCTTTCATTTGTATCATGTATGTTGGAATTTGTGTACATCCAGGTAGCATTTCCGTGGTAATATAGTCCTGAGGGTCTGAACCTTTGTATCAAGAAAAAGAGGTATGATACCTCTGGTACCAAAGGGGCAGTATTTGAGTTGGCAGGTCTAAACTTCAATTTTGATTTCTCGTCTCCTGTCCCTCGTGTGGGAATTAAAGCTGAGCAAACCATTTTCTTTGAAGAAATCTATGCTGTCAGGAAGCAAATTTCACTGTCCTTAACTGCACTTTTGCTGAGATTTGTGGGACTTCCCTCCATATACAAGAGCCAATAAATTCTTGTTTTTATTAAGGATTTTGAAAATGCTAGTAACCAGATCACGGGACGAGGCAGGAATTCCTGTTAAACCTTTTTTTTTTTTTTTTTTTTTTTTGCGTTTATTTATTTTTCCTCTCCCCTAAAGTGTGTGGGGCTGGAGTCTCAGTCTTGGCTATTCAGATTACGGATGTAGCCTTTGCTGCTGGATGGTTGTTCCATTGGTTAAAGGTCTGTGACTCCAGTAACAGGTAGCAATGCAGCGAGGCCACACTAGTAGTTAACTGATCTTGCTGAGGGTTAAGTTGGATTTTTAAGCATTAAACTTGGTTTTCATATTGCTAGGAAAAAGATGACTGTAGTGTTAAAAGCTTTGCTGAGCATCTGGAGGTGTTTTTGATCTTGGCAAATGGGGGGAATTAGGCAACTCTCTGCAATTTGGAGGTTTCGTGTGTTTTTGAATAGCTAGAAGTTTAGAAAAGAAAACAAAGTAAGCAAACAAGCAAAAGCGCTGCAAGAATTCTACAATTGTAAAGCAGAGTGCTTAGAAATTAAAGAAAAATAGACTTTCATTAAAAATTAATGTCTGCATTTTAAGTTTAAATCCTGGAGCAGCTACAATAATTGCTTCATCTTGTATACAAATCGCAAGTCCCCAGCAGGAGCAGACGGTGGGAGGAGGATTGCTTTCTGTTGGGTAATGTCTATGCAGTAGCTGAGAATTTAGTAGTGCACTGGGATCCTGCATAGTGTTTTCCCAGCCTGTGAACTATCAGGAAGGATTACATCCTGATTACAAGCACCAGCTGGTCAATTTTAGAAAATTAAAAACAAACAAACAAAAAGTGCAAGTCCTTGTTTCATTCAGACCTAGAATATTGTGTTGCTTGTAGCTGCTGAGGCGCTGTTGTAGTTTTATACCATTTGCTTTCATTTACTCTGCAGATTTTAACACTGAAAAAGGAGACCACCTTTGAGACTAACTATTTTTTTAATGTATATATCATAGTGCACTTTGTGCTTTCCAAAACTTCTATTTCAAGGTGATTTATATCTTGAATGCTCATGCTTGATATGGAAGGGGCTCATGTGTATAATCTGAAATTGTTGTTGCATTAGACTGCGCATGAAGTGCTCTTATGTGAAGTGCCCTCAGCTTGCTACACAGTAAATCCGTATGAGTTGCAGGATAATTTATAGGCATCTTAATTTAATCTGTTCGACTCTACCTTAAAGCACATACTATTGAAAAGCTTTGGAATATTTCCTGTGATTGCTGTTCCTGCCAATACCTTCCTTCCTTTTTGAGACCTCTGGATTAAGAGACTGTCTCAGATGAACTCTTTTAAGGCAGCCTCCCGGACATACAGTTTTTAAGAGCGCAATTTCCCAGGAGTTTTCATCACTGGAGCTGGTTTAGGGGATCCCCACATAGAGCCACAACTGGTCCCTCTTTTAAGCGGCTGCAGTTAATTATGGGATTATGCTGTAAACTGGATTATAATCTAAATTTAAAAACAGAAAGAGGATACTTTCCCCTCTCCTACTGTCTGTTAGAATTTCACAGCCATAGTTACTAAGATAGGGTTGAGCAAGTGGGGAAAAAATATCTTAAATGTAAGTGTGCCACAGAAAGAAGTATATGTGGAATCACAGCCTTTTTTGTCCTCAGTCTCTCTTTTGTCCTCAGCTTCACATAAACAAGGTTACTGGTTGGAAAATTTAAACAAATGCTTAGGAAGCAGCAGCAGCTTTGGCAATATTAAATAGTGATGTTAAATTTTGCAATGTTTTTGTATGCAAAGAGTGCTTAGACAGAAATTGTGCCGCTTGCCTCTTGAAGTCTCAGTCTCTATTTGTATTTTCCTGTCTTTCTGATTCCTTTTTTTTTTTTTTTTTTTTTTTGGGGTAGGGTGGGTTTCCTACCTTTTGTCGCAAGGATATGGCCAGATGAGCTCTGAAATTGTTCGGCCTGAATTGCATCTTAAAGCATTAAATGTTTTTAAAGCGAATTTTTAATTTGGGAACTTCTGAAGGATTGCTCAAAGCAACTGTCGTTAGTGTAGATCAGGCTGTATGTTAACTGGGTCTGTATAGGGGCTGTAAAAACTCTCCTTTCCCAGTAATTCTTACTGTAAAGTCACTTCCAGGTGTGGATTCTTTCCCAAGGGGTGTCTTGTTTTGGCAACCATTGGAAATTGTCTGTTTGCCTTGATGGGCCACAGACCTCATCTAGGTTGAGGGTGAGTGGGAGAGTCAGCCAGGGCTTTTGCTATTTTATATTTTGCCTCTTGCAGAAGCTCTGCTTTCACCTACATCTCCTGATTTTTTAATAGGGAGCGGATCTATTATTTTAATACCCTCCTACCTTGAGAACCTGCAGAATGATCAATAATCACTGCATGGGTGCCCAAACTGAGAACGTGTGAGAGCACATAGAGCAAAAGGTGCTCAACTAAAGGAGGTCCAGGCAGGTTCTCTGACCCTTTTCGTCAGAGGAGAAGAGGAGGATTCCCTCTATTCGCAGGGAAATCCCACAACTGCTAAATGCTGTTTGTCCTCTATCTGCTTTGCAGCCATAAAGTGAACTCCAGTGAACTATTAATGCAGCCACTTGACAGTTCTGCAGCGCTTTCTGTCCATGGCCCTCCAAGCACAGCAGGGAAGGAGCTGGAGCAAAGTTTTTAATGCTGCTGAGGTCTAAAAAGGAACATTTGCAGGAGGTGTTGCATCTACCCAGTTTGCTCTGCCCACTCTTGCAGGGCCTGTGCTTTAGTGGCATGACAGAGCCCAGAGGTGGTTGAAATGTGGGAAAGGAAAAAGCCCAGAGAAGCTCTGCAAGAAATAACTAAGTGGGGACGGATGGAAGGGTGGGGAGGTACGGTGGCTGTGAAGTGAGTGTGACACAGCCCTTGTCCTTGGGATGGCATGAAAAGATGCCCCGAATAACTTAAAGAAGCAGCCCTTAGTGGAGGGGGAAAAAAAGGCAGGAAAAAGTTGGGACAAAACAGGCGGGACTCATCCCGCACTGACTGATGCACTTTACCCATGTCTCTGACATTCGGAGATCCCACTTTTGGTAGCTCTTTTTCTCCAACTGAATGATGGCTAGACAGTCTGAATCTACTCATGTACCTGGTCTCACCTAATAATTTTTTTGATTAAATAGTTCTTTGAGGAAGAGAAGAAACTTGTATTCTGGTATTACTTTTAATATGCATTAATAAGAAATTAGATCTCTAGGTATTACTGTTGGGACACCTTCAAATTGTTTACTGTGACATTGCCAGAAATACCTGATCATTATTTATATTTTCTTTCTTACTGTTATGAAAAGATGCATTTTTTTCTACTTCCCATATGCTCTTCTGCTGTTTTGCGGTAGAAGTGTGTAAAAATATTTTCATACACTTGTCACAGCTAGTGTCTACTTTCAGTGGTTGTTGGTGGGTTCCTGTTTAGCTTTTTGTTATTCTTTTCAGTTGATTTTTTTTTTCTTTTGGTCCAAATGTACCAACCGTCTGTTAGTGAAATTATGAAAAACTCGGTGTATGTGACCACTGATTGTTGTAGAAGTATAACAGTAGGTAACAGAAAGGGGTGCTCAGCTTCGGGTTAAAAGTTGTGTTGAGGATTCAGTAATTTATGCTTTTAGAAAAGGCATTACTTCACATGATAGCTCTAGTATAAAACCCAGCACTTTCCAAAGGCTGCGTCTCTGTGCTTATTTTCGGTGTTCAGACCAAGCACGGCAGTAGCACCAATGCTCTGCTGACTTCTCACTTAGACATTTCACTTTTGAATATTAGTTTCCTGTTTTACAGCCACTGTATTTCAAATACATCTTGTGCTGCTAGGTAATTATTTAAAATCAGCTAATGGATTACTGAAATAAACTACTTAATAGATTTTTTTTTCCTGCTGTTTTGTTAGGAATTCTTGCTTCAGTCTCAGAAACTCAATTTTCTTACGTAACTGTAGTGATATTTTTCTTTTCCCCCTGCTTTCCTCTAGTGCTGACTTAAAGCTACTGGAAGAAGCCACCATCTCAGTCTGCAAGTCTTTAGGTGAGAAATGTGATGTCTTAACTCTTTTTTCTCTGTGGTTTATCAGAAAAATTAAGGAACAACATTCATGTATGCATCCATATCTTTAGGGTACTGTGCCTCTCTGCATTCTACTAGTGAGATTAAAACAGGACATATGTTTGTCTATATATCCCAAACTTTCAGAAATGTAACTTCCATCATTAACTATCTTATATAAGTTGAAATGACTGAAAGGGTTAGAACAACTGCCTCCCTCCTCCTCCTTTCTCTTTTGCCCTCCAAGCCTGACAGGCAGGGGACAGAAGTAACTGGGGCTCATAAATGTGATCAGTGATCAGTTAGCAGTGAAAATCAATCTGTTTTTCTGAGAGGAAATAATTGTGCTGTGAAGAAGTTGTGAAAAGGAAGCAGTTTGAGTGCTACATGTGGGATATTTAAATCTAGGCTGAAAAGTACGTTTAGTGAACAATCACAGAGCAGTAAAGCATGCACTGGAGAATCTTGGAAGAAAACCAGTTGTAATATACTTTATGTAGAAGTATTTGAATCTTTGAAAATTGTTTTCATTCTGTCTTGTTTGAACTAAATAGTATCAAATTAAAAGGCTATATAATTTTTTTTTTAATCCTTCATCTAGTTGAGAAGAATCCTCGAACTGGAAATCTTGGGTCATTGATTAAAGTCTTTCTTGCTAGAACCAAAGAATTAAAAATTTCAGCAGAATGTCAGAAGTAAGTAGATGGGGTAAAGCTGTGTTTTCTCTTTTACTTCTTAAATGTTCTTTTGTTTCTAGCTCTTGAAGTTGTGCTCTGCTAGTTAACATATTTACAGACCCAAATTTAGAATTCTCTTGCTTGTATTGTTCCCAAAAAGATATATTCAGTACGTTTTCAAGCACATACAGTGAAGTATAGTAGATACATAATTTACAGTTGGCAAATAAAGACGTATTTGCCTTCTCACGTGTATTACATAAACCACATTTGTTTGACTGGATCCAGATTTATAACTGTGTGCTTATTTCTGCCTTCCCTGTTGTGCACTCATTAGGTGTTGCTGTCTTAATTTTCTCTGGATCCCACATATAGTAAAAATGCAGCACGAATTCCCTGTTAGTGGGTTAGTAGCAGTGCTCAAAATGCCTTGGAGCATAAATAACCTCTAAGAGGAAGGCTGACCTGTCAGGGATGTTTGATATTCTTATACCTAAACGATAGACGTAATTCAAGAAAATGTTGTGTAACTATGTTCTCTTTGTATTCAGAAAGCTGGGAAAAGACACTTTTGCTTTGTTATGCTCCTGAAACCTAGAAGTGTGTAGAGTCATCTGAGAAATATTAGATCAGGAAAAGCGTTAAGGTTTGTGAGTCAGAATAGTTTTCATATTGAAGTTGTTGGAAAATTTCATCTTTTAGGTAGACTTCAGATTGCAGGCTCTAGAAACCTTTAGAAGGGTATATAAGCCATCTAGTAAGCTCTTTGGAGAGAGTAGCGCTTCTGACATCTTTAAAAATACCTATTTAAAATTAAAACTATATCAGCTTGAAAAAGAAAAACTTTAAATATACTTCTAATTTATTTGCTCTAGCAGGGTGTTTTCAACTGATACTTCAGAGCACTTTGGCTTTTCTTTGCTTGCTTCAACTATAAAAATCCCTTATAAGATTTTACAGATTTTAAGTTTTTATAGACATTATACGTATATAAGAATAGACATTCTGACATATATCTTATTGTGATCCTTTTTTTAATGTATTTTCACAAACTGTTACTGACTCTTGTTTGCTTTTGCTTCCTTTCTAGTCACCTCTTTATTTGGCAGGCTCACAACGCGTTGTTTATTATCTGCTGTTTGCTGAAAGTATTCATCAGTCGAATGTCAGAAGAAGAATTACAACTTCATTTTACTTACGAAGAGAAGACGCCGGGGTCATACGGTAGGTGTACACTATTCTGACATGTAACAAGTGCTCATAACAAAATAAACCTCTTCTAAAGCTGGGCTTATTTGGTTTATTTTCTTCAAAGATTTATTTCTAAGCGTAGTGCGATCATTTCTTAGCAAACTTTGTTTGATATTTAGAAACAGTTATTACAAACTGATAGACATAGACTGTAGACATAATATGAAATTGCATTTCATGTTAAAATTACTAACAGTCCTCTTCAGAACATGCCTTGGTGTTCTGGTGCCTCTTTTATTTATGTGCAAGGTGCTCCATTACACAAGGTGTTACAGAATTTGCGCAGGAAGGGATGTGCAGAGCTTTCCTTTTTTGCTCCTAAGAACCCTGTCTGAACATAATCCCTTCTCTCATGGGCCTGTTCAGAGAACAGGATTGCAGCCCAAGTAAGCAGAGGGACAGAATGGAATGAATAGAGCATAGAGTCTTTGGCCTCTAAGAAGATGGGGAGAACAACATATAATTGGAGCGAAACTATCCTATGACTGCTGTGGGGAATGGTGAAATGTCATAGAAAATAGTACTATGGTAGAAATATACTGAGGAAAGTAAATAGTTCTGTGATTAAAGCTGATCCATTAAAAAAGGAAATTGCCATCATTTAATTAGCAGGCAATAATTCATACTATGAAATCTCTCGAACAAGAATCACAGAAAAGTAAACTTAGACAGAATGTTCAAAAGTAAGTGCAGCTCAAGGAAATAGTGAATGGATTGCACAAGATGAAAGATAGC